GGGGGCTTTTAGAAATTAGAAGTTGAATCCTTGGGAATGTAAATAAATTATTTACATAGAAAATCCAGTGGATTTAGAAGAAAATGTGCTGAGTAACAGCAATATTCCTGTGCCTCTCAGATTAGGTAACATTTACCAGACTTTAAGAGATAGGAGGGTCACAGGGGAACAAGGTGCAAATTGATAGTATAAACCAAAAACCCATTGCCCTCGAGTCAATTCTGACTCATAGAGACTTTAAAGGACAGAGTAGAATTTCCCCATAGGGTTTCCAAGGCTATAATCTACAACAGTAGACTGCCACATCTTTCTCCCGCAGAGGCTGGTGGGTTCAGACCACTGACCTTTCAATTAGCAGCTGAACTCTTTAATACCACACCATCAAGTTGGTAAAAGAAACCAAACCAAAACCCACTGCCGTGGAGTCGGATCTGACTCATAGCGACCCCTCCTTGGGTTTAAGAGGCGGTATCACTACGGAAGTAGTTTGTTCTTCTTTTTGCTGCTGAAGGTCTAGTTTATATTAGAAACTATAAAGTCTATATGCTTCCATTGATAATGCAGCCTTGGTGCTAGGAATGAAGCAAGACATCCAAGTCTGCATTATTAGAATACATCGACTTTTTGTGCCACAGCAGAGCTTTACAACCACTGTTGATCCAATATCAGTAACAAACCAGGGACTGGCACAGGAACTATTGGAACTACCTTTTGCTAAGGCAGTTCAATAGGATTTTGTCACCACGAGAAGAGAGGCTTTCTGAGAGTCGAGCCAAGTAGAGGAGTGTTTGACAAGATACAGAGACAGAAAGAAACTCGGCCCTGTCAGCATTGTTTCAGTCGAAGATTGAGCCATGCCTAAAGTCAAAAGTAGCTCTGGACATTTTAGAAGCTTGGACCAATAAATTATTTTGTTAAAAATAATTTAGATATATTTTTTTTACATCTGTAACTCATACATAGTAAATAATACACAAACTTTACCAAAATAAAAGGTTTTTGACTTTGAACTCTCTCAACCAAGATTGTATTAGACCAGTCAAATAAGCAAATTCCACAGTTGAAATTTCTATTGCAAACATCCTGTTGTAGAAAAGGTCATAGCCTCTTTTGTAAACAGGGGGAGGAAAGCTACTTGACTTGGGAATTCAACTTCAGCCTAAGATGCCTGCAGACCACAAAGCTCAGATGACTAAGACAAAGTTCTAACCACTGACCTCTGACACTGCAAACTACATGTTGAGGAGATTAGCCACAGTGAGGACATCTTCAATTTGTTATTTGAATTACAGAAAAGCCTGGCTACTTTTTAAAATGTTTTAAGCATTACTTATTGTATTAAACTTCTGAAAAAAATCCTCTTGACTTGTCATAGCTATCTATGGTGAATTGCCCTGTAAAGAAAAAATAAATTAGATGTAAGGCTCAAATTCCTTTCTTGAGCATCAAATTATATGGCTCTACCACATTTGGTTCTGCTGTGGCATAAAGTATAGAAAGCATAGTCTGATCAGAAGGTTCATATTGTGTTCCATTACATTGCTGAAGTTATTAATATACAGGCCATTACTAATGAAGTCTTTTAAATTTTAAATCATGGTTACCATCCGAACATTTAGAAAAGTCTTAAGCCCCTTTGAAGTCCAAGACTCAGACAATTCTGTATAAATATTTGAGTTTTTTCCCTAAGAGGAGGATGGCTGCAAAACCTCAAGCTAAAATCATTAGATGTACAGTTTTCTTTTAAAAAAATAATTTAAGTATTT